TAAATGTGGAAACCGGAAACTCTAACAAGAACCAAACAAATATTGAAGTTCAACGTTGTGTTTCACGAAACTCCATAACTCAAGTGTGTACCAAAACAACGTGCCCTATATGTTGTTTTAACTGAGGACTTTTGACTGAAATGATCTTTAATTTCAATTCCTAATTGCTGAAATTATCAAAGATTAAATATCGACGACATAATAATCAAATATCAATAAAATAGAAATAAAAGATTGATGATATAGTGATCATATATCAATAATATACTAAATAGTGATTATTTCAGCAATTAAGATTTGAAAATTAATCATATATCAACAACATACTAAAAAGTCATTTCACCAGAATTTCCAACGAGTAAATCTTCGTTATTAAATCGTTAAATAAAAATTTAACAATCGAAAATTTCGGTCCATAAGATTTTCTTGAAACATATTAGAAAATATGTTGATTAGGCTAACCCATTAACTCTTTGAAAATTAATCATATATTGACAACGTATTAAAAAGTCATTTCACTAGAATTTTCAACGAAATTTTGGTGAATAAAATTTTCTCCGATCATACTAAAAAATATGTTGATTTGGCCAACCTGTTAACTCTTTGAATCCCCAAAAAGCCAAACGGAAGTCTTCCATGAAATTTCGAGTCAAAAATCTACTTTTTGTATTAAATGCCAAGTATTTCAATGAATGAAAGATTCAAATTCACATGGTTTGTTAATGAAGGCCAAAGCAAGACCATTAGCAGTACCAATCAATGCCCAAAAATAGTTGACATAAACACTAAAAAGATAGATTGTCTGGACAGATTTAGCTCAACATGTTCAAACATTTTGCCTCTTGACATGATGTCGTGGACCCAGTCAAAATTGCTTAAGCATAACAAAATCCAACCTTCACCCTACAATTTTTTTTCAACCCTCTTGTTCTCTCTCTTTCCATTCTGCAACTCGATCTTTCTTTATCACTCTCCATTTTCTTCCAAACATAGAATTTGCCAACTTGATATCCTTTCACGGTCATCCTTCACTGCCCTAGTTGCAAACTTGAATTTTTTGAATTGTACAATATTTTTTATTTTTTCATTTCCTTTATTTTGGACTACGGAATAGTATTTCTTGTAATGCTTTGATGGGAAGTTTTAATGGCTACTAGCAGTTCTTGTAATGATTTTGCGTTCTATTTGAATGTGTTAATTTTTTACCATGTTAATTGAACTCTTGGAAATTACTACCAAGAATCTTATTGCCAATTCAAGCTTTCTATTCTTTTTCGTGTAAGCATGTTTGTGTAAGGGTGCAAGCATCTTCCAAAGCCTATTTATATTGGTAGTTGCACTTAGACTGAACAACACATTATGAACTAATCAATTGATGAGGAAAAATGGTTAATTTGAGACATTTGATTTAAGAAGCACTACTTGTTTCGGTTAGTTAAAATTATTTTTCATAAAGAAATCACAATTCAAATGAGAAAGGAAAAGAAAAGACATATTTGATCGGTTTATATTTCCATATCAATATATATATATATATATATATATATATATATATATGTTTATGTCTTTTTTAAATTGTGCACTGAAAAAAGAATTTATGTCATAAGAGTAAAAAAAGAAATCCTAACAAATCCATGAAAGAAATCATTACAAATTCATAGAAATCTATAATAGAAATCCATAATAATCTGTCAAAATTCATATAGAATTGTATAATCTATTAAAATCCTTTGAAATCTGTCACTTAAAAAAGTCTATTAAAATCCTTTGAAATCCAAATTGACTACACACCCTTGGTGTATCGAATCGTGTTTTCAGTACACTGAAAAATATTTCCTACTAGTATTACACAACCAAAAGCAAATAACATGTTGTGCACGTGACAACTTCAATAAAACTACATTTTAAGGACAACATGTGGATTTAAAACATGGTTTATAAAATTGATATATATAGTAGAGAAGCATCAATTTGGTCGAGGGGATTCGCACAATATTGGAGGGATCTAATTTGGAAGGAGTGCGTTTGTAGGAGAGGGAAACCAGCTACGAGCAAAACATATTTGAATTTCAACGTTGTGCGTTTCATGGGTTAGCACATGCAAACAAGATTGTTTTGAACCGACCAAACCTTATATTTTCTTGTTTTGAACCGGCAAAGGATTTTGCGTGGACTTGGTCCTTTCGTTAAATTTAAAACACCGCCGTGGTAAACTGGTTGAGGTAATATGCATCGAATGCCAACCTCGCACGCCAACCCCTCGTCAAACCAAATTCTCAAAGATTCCAAGATAATTTCTGACGTGACTTCCTCTCATACTTAAACTACAAGTAATGCTATTTAATACATGTTTGTACGATTATTTGCATTATCTCTTTAATAGGAGTGACATTAGGTAAATCAATTTTGTTGATCAATTTTGCAAGTAAAATAATGTGTAGAAAAAAGCACATTAAACAATACTTAATGAAGAGTCCTATCTCTATTATAAAGATAATATAAATATATAGTGAAAGTAGTATTTTTATTAAACTCCCCCAAAGTCGATTACTCATTCCTGACATGTATTTCTAATCATAAATCTCAGCCATGTGAGAATTTTTAGTGTGCTCAGAATATGAGGTGTTACACTGTGGGTCACTATACAAGTGGTGACATATTTGTATTAAAAAAATTAACAACTTAAAAATAAAACATCTCATCACTTATATAATAACACATAGTGTACCACCCGTGTTTGGGACATAATGAAATTTCTCTCAAAAATTGGCTTTCATGCTCACCTTAATTAACCACGTGTGTTTTTCTGTAGGAAATAAAATACCTTCTATATACTCTGTTTTAGACTTTAGTAGCCCAATTGACATAAAACATGTTTATCTTTACTGTTTTAGTCTAATAACGAAGAGTTACGAGTCGTTAATAAATACTTTAATTTTTTATAAACAATTAAAATTACTTATGATATCAAATGGGTTATTATCATGTGAAGTCCAACGATCATACATATTTCACATTACTTAATTGTGTTATTCACGTATTAAATTTGAAAATTTATCATACATGATGAAAATATTAAAAGTATAAATCAAACGTCATAAGAAATAGTTAAGTTTTTATAATATTAATTTTATAATTAAATCTCAATTTTATTCGTGATATCGAAACCTAACAATGTATTAATTTGATACTGAATCCAGTCGACATATATCCTTATCTTGCCTCGGTGTCTCTCACCGTCCATACCGCTTCTAGTTTCTGGTATTGTTGGAAACCCCTCTTATACTTTGACCTTTGAATATTTTGACCTTCCCCTCCCTCGCACATGATATGCTACTGCTACCCAATTAATTAATTATTGCACCTCTGACTTTCATAGTTGTTCAACCTATATAAACACTTCCTCCCATTTGCCTTTTTCATTCACAGATTCAGTCCGAACGTTTCCCACATCTTCCTTACTAGCTGCTTACGCAGACGAGTCAGAACTCAGAAGAGAAAGTTCATATTTTACATAAATATAGTTTTACATATATATATATATATATATATCATCATCATCATCATCATGAGTTACAGTTCGGAAGAAAGCGGGAGTAGTCCATGCAGCACATCAAACAGAAAACTCAAGGGGGTGCGCCAACGAAAATGGGGCAAGTGGGTGTCCGAAATCCGAGTTCCGGGGACCCGAGACCGGCTTTGGTTAGGTACCTTCTCCACCGCAGAGGCGGCAGCGGTGGCTCGAGACGTTGGGTATTATTGCTTGCGTCGACCTTCCACGTTGGAAGGCCTTAACTTCCCGTTGATGTTACCGTCTTGTGTGAGCGATGATATGTCGCCCAGGTCGGTGCAGAAGGCAGCTTCGGATGCTGGCATGGCAGTGGATGCTCAGCTGATTGCCAACAAGTCCCCGCCGCCGCAGCCAGCTGGAACTGGAAGCAATGCGCTTGAGACGACTGAGTTTTGGGAAAATGGTTATGTTGGAGAGACTTCGACTTCGACTCCTACTTCGACTTCTATGAGCAGCTGGGGAGGAGGACATGGGTTTGGCAATGGCGGTGATCATCAGGGGTGCTTGAGCATTTCCGTTGAAGATTATGATCTCTAAATTAAATCTAATTATTAAGTGTCGTCAGTCAAAGTTACACGGTTTTTTATTTATTTTTATTACAAATGACATTCTGTGCTGGTTTACGGAACAAATTTGAATTTGGGACGCTGTATGATGGTAGAGAAAGATCCTAATCATCAGAGCAACCCACCGCCGTTTGTAACTATGATTTTGGTCCATGAAAATTTTAGCAATGTTAGCATAAAGTTAATAACTAGAACTATGCACGTGTTTGTGGGTAGATTTGCTAGAATATATATGTAGCACTGTATCACACTCACCATAAGACTAAGTCTAGCCATGCCAAGAAATGGAAATAGACTGGTTATGATTTACAATACGACTTTGACCTCCCAAAAAAGAAGTGGAGTTGCATTTTTTAATATTGAAAAAGACGTACGCTGAATTTGAGACCTGGTTATAAGGAGAGAGAGGAAAACAAATCTAGACTTCAGCATGAATTCGCTGAATTGTTTAAATGTACAAATAATAAAAAAAGAGGAAAATAAATCCAGAATTTCGTATAAATTCATTTAACCAACTGAATTATTTGAACGTACAAATAATGAACAAGTCATGTTTCAAATACTTTGTTGAATTCAACGATCCTCTATGGAAAGAGGCAAGTGTCCTATTGATGATTTGGAACCCAATTAACACTTCAATAAAATTTATGATGAATTTCTAAACCATGTTTTAGTGTTGCAAATTGAGCATATATTTTAAATCCAACAGAAACCTTAGAAAATAGTGCGATTCTTTGTGCAACCAGTGACACCAAGTGACAACTATTAACGAAAAGGCGATATACTAACATGGAAATCATTTATACTATCGGTGGTGCCACTGAAACAATATATTAGTTTCAACAGAGTTGCTCTCCACAAAGTGAAAATAATTGTTTCTTTCCTCTTTTTGGGTTAAAACTACAAATGTTTTTCTTTAGAAATAACTTAAGCATCATTCAGAAGATAGTACAAAGATGCCCAGATGAACTAATCATCACTCAAAAATGAAAATTCTGAAACAAATGTCATACTTGATAAGAAGAAGCGCATGTTTGGATCGATGTTTGGCCGGAACATAGCTTCAAGATTGTTTCTCGATCTGCTGATTTCCTTCAATATCCCGCTGCCAATTTCGGAGGATCTGCTGATTCCCTTCAAGCTTAGAAGTACTTGTTTGCACTGTGTTCCATTTTATGTTGGTCTTATACGGTTTGATTTACAATCATCTCCATGCATTTTATGTATGTACACAAAAGGGGTAATTCAGCTGAAGACGTTTTACACTCGTGGAATCTGTTCTTACATACAATCATGACCCAAGGGAAACCAAAATTAAAATTTCAAAGAATTAGTCAAATGAAACCAACTTACCCGCTTGTTTTTTGAGTTTGAACTCCGCCAGACTTTGTAACAAAATCTTGTCCGAAATAATCAAGGAAGAAATCAAGTGCCAAAATTTGAAGATTTTATCTTCTGAGCCAACCTAAACTTAAAAATTGAAAACAGAACGGCATCAGCCACCATACAAGTAGGAGTTTCAAGAGAGCAACCCTTATATATAGGCCGTTCTTTGCTTGTCTGAAATAGGCAGCTCGTGGATCCCCCTCAACATCCACGGTTATCTTCACAGCCTTCCTTCTCAACCCGTATAGTGATTTGGAAAACGAAGCATCTGCCGAAGAAAACAAACATAACCCAGAAAACAAAATCAAATTCCTGAACAAAGTAACGTCAGAACAGAAGAGAACAGCCACTGATCGATAGAAGAGTCGGAATTCCAAAAAAGTGCCTGTAGTTCGTAAGCTATGAGTTTCGAGAACGAGCATGAGCAAGGAGAAGAACTCGTCCTCGTAGTCGAGAACCCTGTGGAGGAAGGTCTTCGTAAAGCTAACACCTGTGGTTTGTTGTTGAAATTAATTCGACATTAATTTAAACTTAACTTAATAAACAGAAGATTAAAAGATCGAATTTTTGCAGCATCCCACCAAAACCCAGAGAGGAACAATGAATAGAGTTTCAGAGAAAGGAAGGAAATGAACTTACGTTGATGGAATAGGTGAGGGTGGCGCGGAGACTGGCGGGAAGCTGCTGAGCCGCCTCCATCTCGAAGAAGGTGGGGCGAGTCCCTTGGTCTCCTGCCTGAAACAACATCTTCTTTTGCTGCAGAGGAGGAGGAAGAGGAGGAGGAGGAACTGAGTAAAAAAAAAACTATGCCTTCCCTCTGGAATTTTGATAGTTTGAAGTACAAATTTCCACCAAAAGCATGCCAATGCCATACAATTATCAATTTATCCATTTTTCTCTCTTTGGGAAAAAATTGGGCCCAAATATGGTAAAGTCCAAACAAAGAGACCCTTTTTCTTTCTCATCATATTGATAGTATATAGATATCGTGTGTGTAGAAACACTGTCAAATGCGGGTCGTGCGCAACTTATGAGCAAAACCCGCCCGTAGAAATGGAGAAGGTCTCAAAGTTTTTATTAGAAAACTCGACAGCCACCCAAAGAGATAGTTTATGTAACAACCCGTCCAGAGATTTACGAAACAAAAAAAGTATTTTTGTATTTTCATTAAGTTTGGAGGATACTTTCCTTTTAAAAATAGTTTTTGGGTCTTAAATGGTGTGCCCAAAGGCCCACCCCTTGATTTTGTCCCCCGAGCCTTTCGCCTCTCTCTCTTCTCTCATTCTCCTCGAGCTCTCTCTCTGTCTCATTTCTATCTCTCCCTCTCAATGCATTTCTCTCCGACCAGAACACACGCGCACCCATACATACACATGCACAGCCAACAGGAGAACTTCACCATCATCTTCATCATTCTCTCCCTCACCACCCTGCGATCTCTCTTCTTATCATTGTGCACAATCACGGTGCACGTGATTTCCGACAAGGTAAGTGAAAAGCACCCTTCCATCTTCCTTCCACGTAGTCTAGAAGGTTTAGTAAAGTATGGTCTTTGGTGAAGGTTTGGACGTGAAAACAACTCAAGGAGCTTTCCCCAATTTTCAGGCGAGCACTGCCACTTTCGAGGCAATTTTTGGCCAAACCACGGCCATTTTGCCAGCGTACAAGGTATCAATCTCTTTGTCTTGCCGAGTACTACAACTTTCCTTTTTGTTTCACCCAATTTCATGGAGTATTGAAGAAGTTATATCCATTTGAATCTTACCCAGTTTCCAACGACCTTTGAGGCTTTCGAGGTATTTTCCAGCCAAACCACAGCGAGTTAGATGTCGTGTGACATTGCATTCTCTTCGTCTCTTCGAGAACTACAACTTTCGTTTTTGAATCACTTGATTTCATTGAGTTTTGACAAAGTTACGAACGTTCAAAGTTAAAGAACTTTCTGGCCGAATTCCAGCCTTCTCTTTCAATTGGGTTCGGCGGCCCATGTTCTGAACTCAAACCGGGCTTTCAAGCCCAGATCCTTTTGAACCAGGCCCTTTGGGCCGTGCCAAACCTAGGGCCTTAGGCCCGTTATCTTTTTAAATCCAACCCAATTACCGAAGCCCAAGTTTGAAATCCAAACCTAGGCCTTTGGGCCGGATCACTAAGCCGAAGCCCATTTCTTTTTAGTTTTGTTTTATTTTTATTCCTATTTAAATTAAAGGCCTTTGGCCCGTTTCCTTTAGGACATTCGGCCCGTAAACCCTAAACCCATTTATTTAAACCCTCAAACCCATTAGACCCAAACCCTTTAGGCCCAACCCGGTCCAATCCAAAACCCTTGACCCAGATCCGTTGACTTTGACCCGGTCTGACCGTTGACCTGGTCAACGTCAGCGTTGACCTTGACTTTGACCCGTCAATGTTGACTTTTTGGGTTTTCGTCCGAGACCCCTCCTAGGCTAATTTCGACGTCCTGTACTCGTTTCAGACGTCTGTTTTCTCAAATTAATTCGTTTGAATAGAGTTTGACTAAATGTACCCTTTATGTGCTTAGGGGCAATTTATTGTGGCGTTCTGTCTCCACTGGTCGAGTGGCTCTTTAGCAGCTAAGTATCTGTGAGTGGACCCCTTATAAAAATGCATGTTTTGATAGTAGAAATGCATACATGAAAAGCATGATTTGATGACTATGTTTTATGAAATGTTTTATGAGATAACATGCTTATTGAGGCTAGTTTGAATTATTACTATTTTTCCTATAACCTATATTCTTATAGAATATCCAATGGATGACGATATGATATTTAGAACATGTTTAGAACACTTCTTTATAGTATAGATGATGGATGACTTTATACTATGAAGTTGATTTTCAATATATGTATGTTCACTGGTTTTGTACTTACCTAGTGGTTCTTTCCGCTACGGGACGTAGGGATAGATCCAGTCCGTCCCGGGCGACGGTTTAGTGTTGGCATAGGGCCTGAAGTGTGTTTCCTCTGGCTATTTAGCACAGGAATGGGGAGCCGGCATGGGGCTTGGAGTGCATTTTCCTCTGATTGTCTGCTCAGAGACGGGGAGCCGGCATGGGGCGGGCCTAGGGGTTATCGGACATTCACTAGTGATTATTATATATACAAGTTATGATTTAAGACATTGCACAACATGCTAGATTTCGAAAAACCTATGTTTATCATGATATATGTGTTTTCATCAAACTTGGGGGTTAGTATGTTGATAACTGTTTCATTATATATATATATATATATATATATATATCAACTTGGTCCACTTATGTTTGTTTTGTGTCCCCTTCAGGACTTAGAAGCAAGGCGTACAATCCTGACGTCAAGGCACTTCCGCATCGGCATCTTCCAATCATCTCAGCGTAGGACCCATTAAAATTTTATATTATTTCTTTTAGTGTTCTAGATTAAATGTGCGCTCTGAACACGTTCCTTAATTGCATATTCATTGTTCTTTTATATTTATAAGTCTTATTTATCCCTTATTTTCAGTATTTGCACTCAATAAATGGCTTTCATCACCCTCGGGTGTCGGCTAACATGTGCCTATCCTGGTATTCGGGGAATATCGGGGTCGGGGCGTGTCAGTCTACATAACCCAGCTTGTAGAAATCAACTTGACTATGAGTAAGCGAAACCTCGAACCCTTCAACTACTCATTCTCCTCGAGCAGACCAGCACGCGCTGCAGTTCCTCCATTTCCTTCTTTAGATTGTCATTGTTCTTCGAAGCACCCTGGAACTCCAACACTTGAGGTTCAAGCCTATCAACGACCTTTTTAAAGTGGATCACTTGGTTATAAGCAGTGATCAATTCTTCAACCTTTGCGTAAGCAGCAGAGCGGAGCTTGGAGACAGCACGCTCAAGGTCTTGAATCTGAGGTATGTAACACCCGATCTCTTTCTCTGAACTTTCATACTTAACTTGAATCGTATCAAGCCTAGTCTTCAAATCCATGATCTTCTGGCGAGCAGTCTTAAGCTGTAGAGAAGTAGGGGCAAATATATTAGACCCCTTCAAAGTGGCAAGCTCAAATTCCAACCTTTTGACTTTCTCAACCGAGGAGTAAGCTTCGGCTGCCACATTCCTTGCCACCTCTTTGGCAACCTTGGTATCTTCTTGATTAAGGAGCATAGACTCAGTTGCTAAAATCGTCGTTTTCTGCATCATAGCCAGCAGATCAATCTTCCCATACTCAGTCGTATGCTTCACAAAGGAACTTGGGTCAACAACCCCTTTGACACCATCAACAAACTTGGAATACACATCCATGTGCTCGAGCATATCTGGTCTCAAAAGCGCACAAGTCTTAGCAACTTCCCCAGAAACAAACTTGGTGGACTTCTCACAACTACCCAGGCAAGCAGTCTCCTTCTTTTCAGCAGGCGAATCAAACCCAGCAGCAAGGGGAGAGGATTTTGGCACCACTTTGGCAGTAGAGTCCACCTTATCGCTCTTCATGGTAACAATTATGAAGGTAAAGCAGACTTAGCCCCCGACAGACGTTTTGGCACAAATTTCGAGCACTGGGGGCACGTCAAAACTTCTATGTTAAGCATTCCTGTCAGCAATAAATGGAAGGCGTCATTGGCATAGATCTAACAACCTCTTCTTTCTCGCCCTTGGAGGAAGTCAAGTCAATCACGAGCTTGGGGGCAGCCGACGAACCTTCACGGGCAGTGGAATAAGTCTTCAGCTTTTTCTCAGCCGATATTTCCTAAGCAGGCGGGGAAGATCTCTTCTTTCTACCTTCATGCATGGTAGGCTCAGCTACAGTGATCGGACGAGCCCCAATGCCTTAGCCTTGATTGGTTGTGAAGTTCCAAGTGTTGCACCTTTTTTTTTTTTTTTTTTTTTTAAAGATTTATTTGTTCAAATTTGTTATATTTTATGTGGGTTTAATCAAGGAATTTGGATTACATTCAAGAAAACTATCATTTATAAATGATCATTTTTTACTAATTTTGATGTGGGCCTGCTGTGGTTTAAGTTTCGAATTTGTAGTAGTTTAATATTCTTTGTTTTTGAGACCAAAATTCTATTTGACAATCACTTTTTTTTCCTTCCTCTTTTCCTCTTCTTGATATAGAATCAATTAGTAGTTGGTCACTTGGGCAAGTCTGATAAGCATTCCGGTGTTCGTATGGCATTAGTTGATGCGAAGATTGCACAAAGTAGAAATTTTTCCAAGCCTTCCGACATCCTGGTATCTAAAAGTTTTTTTACCCAAAATGGTCCCTGATGTTTGCATAACTCCTTACTTTGATCCCTGAGATTTCAAATCAATAGAAGTGGTCCCTAAGATTGTCCACTATCCATCATTTTGGTCATTCTGTTAAAAACTCCGTTAAGTGTCTGGCAATTTTCAAAGCTTCGTAACTCAATCATTTTTTAACCAAATTCGACCCATAATCTATCAAAATGAAGATAGAAAAGTGTAAAATAAAATTATACCTATTTGAAAGCCCAATGGTTACTAGATATTATCGGAAAATAGCCTCAAAGTTGGTTGGTCCGAGGGAAAATTGGAAAACTCGCCGGAAACTAGCAAACTTTAAATGTTCATAACTTCTTCAATACTAAACGAAATCAAGTGATTCAAAAATGAAAATCATACTTCTAGAAGAGACGATGGTACCTTTTTCAACAGCTAACTCTCCATGGTTTTTCCGGAAAACGACTCGAAAATGGTTGTCTTGGTCTCAAGTAAGCTACTTTCGAGCCATTTTTCAGTCAAAACATGGCGAGTTAGCCACTGAAAAAGATACCATTCTCTTTGTCTCATCAAGAAGTATGATTTTCGTTTTTGAATCACTTAATTTCGTTGAGTATTTAAGAAGTTATGAGCGTTTAAAGTTTGCTCAGTTTCCGGCGAGTTTTCCAGTTTTCCCTCGGACCGGTCAACGTTGAGACTATTTTCCAACCATATCCGGCAACCATTGGGCTTCCAAATGATATAATCTTATTCTCCACTTTCCTATCTTCATTTGATATATTATGGGTCGAATTTGGTTAAGAAACGATTGAGTTACGAAACTTTGAAAATTGCCCAAAATTCCAGCCAAGAGCTCCGAAACACTTAACGGAGTTTTTAATGGAATGACCAAAACGATGGATGGTGGACAATCTCAGGGACCATTTCTATTGATTTGAAATTTCAGGGACTAAAGTAAGGAGTTATGCAAATCTTAGGTACCATTTTAGCTAAAAAGCCCATATAAAACTACTTTTCCACAGTGACTTAAAACAAATTGTAAATGTTTGTCTTCTTTGGAATGTAGATTATGTTATGAAGTTTCAGGCTACTTAATAACATTTTTTTTTGTTTTGTTTTTATTTGGCAGGCATTTGATCTTGTTCAAGGAGCACACGTAAGGCTTTGTATTCCTTAATCTCCTGATACGGTGACATATAGTGAGTTTATGATTGAGAACTTGATGCAATTGTTGTTCAGATTCTAACCCATTTATATAAAAATTGCGTACTTTTGTTCTGCCCCACTACCTATGTTAAAATTTAACAAAACTAAATTGAGGAGCAATCTCAAATGCGCTAGTCAGTGAAGATGAGAAATCATGAGGAGTAGCCGCATAGTTTATGTTTATTGTTTTTGCATAATCACATATCTGAATAGTCATAGTTTGCAGGTAAAATGGAGTCCGGCTGTGGTTGTGGACAGGTCGTTACCTGAGCCTCCAACGGCTGTTTTTCTGCATGGAATTCTAGGTAGCAAGAAGAACTGGGGTACGTTTGTTCTTTTCTCTTTCTAATGTCATTTCACTTCCAGTGATTATTTCAGCAATTGAGATTTGAAAATTAATCATATATCGACAATATACTAAAAAGTCATTTCACCAGAATTTCCCACGAGTAAATCTTCGTTATTAAATTGTTAAATAAAAATTTAACAATCGAAAATTTCGATGCATAAGATTTTCTCGAAACATATTAGAAAATATGTTGATTAGGCTAACCCATTAACTCTTTGAAAATTAATCATATATTGACAACATACTAAAAAGTCATTTCACCATAATTTCCAACGAAATTTCGGTGCATAAAATTTTCTCTGAACATACTAAAAAATATGTTGATTAGGCCAACTCATTAACTCTTTGAATCCCCAAAAGCCACGCGGAAGTCTTCCATGGAATTTTGAGTCAAAAATCTACTCTTTGTCTTAAATGCCAAGTATGTCAATGAATGCAGAATTCAAATTAACAAAAATCTACTCTTTGTATTAAATGCCAAGTATTTCAATGAATGCAGGATTCAAATTCACAGGGTTTGTTAAGCAGGCCAAAGCAAGACCTTTAGCAGTATCAATCAATGCCCAAAAATAGTTGACATAAACACTAAAAAGGTAGTTTTTGTCCGTTTATGGAGAGATTCAGCTCCACCTGTTCAAACATTTTCCCTCTTGACATGATGTCATGGAACCAGCCAAAATTGCTTAAGCATAACAAAACCCAACCTTCACCCCTAGAATTTTTTTTCAACCCTCTTGCTCTCTCTCTTTCCATTCTGCAACTCGATCTTTCTTTCTCACTTTTCATTTTCTTCCAAACATAGAATTTGCCAACCTGATATCCTTTCACGTTCATCCCTCACCGTCCTAGTTGCAAACTTGAATTTTTGAATTGTACAATATTTTCTTAGTTTTTTCATTTCCTTTATTTTGGACTATGGAATAGTATTTCTTGTAATGCTTTGAGGGGAAGTGTTAATGGCTACTAGCAGTTCTTGTAATGATTATGCGTTCTATCAGAATGTGTTAATTTTTTACCATGTTAATTGAACTCTTGGAAATTACTACAAAGAATCTTATTGCCAATTCAAGCTTTCTGTTCTTTTTCGTGTAATCATGTTTGTGTAAGGGTGCAAGCATCTTACAAAGCCTATTTATTTTGGTAGTTGGACTTAGACTGCAACACATTATGAACTAATCAATTGATGAGGAAAAAGGGTTAATTCTGAGACATTTGATTTAAGAAGCACTACTTGTTTTGGTTAGTTAAAATTATTTTTCGTAAAGAAATCACAATTCAAATGAGAAAGGGACTGAAAAATGAATTTATGTCGTAAAAGTAAAAAAAGAAATCCTAACAAATCCATGAAAGAAATCATTACAAATTCATAGAAATCTATAATAGAAATCCATAATAATCTGTCAAAATTCATATGGAATTGTAGAATCTATTAAAATCATGTTGAAATTTGTCACTTAAAAAAGTCTATTAAAATCCTCTGATATCCAAATTGACTACACACCTTTGGTGTATCGAATCGTGTTTTAAGTACACTGAAAATATTTCCTACTAGTATTACGCAACCAAAAGCAAATAATGTGCACGTGACAACTTCAATAAAACTTCCTTTTAAGGACAACATGTGGATTTAAAACATGGTTTATAAAATTGATATATATATAGTAGAGAAGCATCAATTTGGTCAAGGGGATCGCACAACATTGGAGGGATCTAATTTGGAATGAGTGCGTTTGTAGGAGAGGGAAACCAGCTACGAGCAAAACATATTTGAATTTCAACGTTGTGCGTTTCATGGGTTAGCACATGCAAACAAGATTGTGCAATTTGGGTAATTTTTGGGTTCCACTTACCGACCAAACCTTATATTTTCATGTTTTGAACCGGCAAAGGATTTTGCTTGGACTTGGTCCTTTAGTTAAATTTAAAACACCGCCGTGATAAACTGGTTGAGGTAATATGCATCGAATGCCAACCTCGCACGCCAACCCCTCGTCAAACCAAATTCTCAAAGATTCCAAGATAATTTCTGACATGACTTCCTCTCGTACTTAAACTACAAGTAATGCTACATTTAACACATGTTTGTACGATTATTTGCATTATTTCTTTAATAGGAGTAACATTAGGTAAATCAAATTTGTTGATCAATTTTGCAAGCAAAATAATGTGTAGAAAAAAGCACATTAAGCAATACTTAAAGAAGAGTCCTATCTCTATTATAAAGATAACATATATATATAGTGAAAGTAGTATTTTTATTAAACTCCCCCAAAGTCGATTACTCATTCCCGACATGTATTTCTAATCCTAAATCTCAGCCATGCGAGATTTTTTAGTGTGCTCAGAATACGGGATGGTACACTGTAGGTCACTATATAAGTGGTGAGATATTTGTATTAAAAAATTAACAACTTAAAAATAAAACATTCCGCCACTTATATAATAATACATAGTGTATCACCCGTGTTCGGAACATAATGAAATTTCTCTCAAAACTCGGCTTTCATGCTCACCTTAATTAACCACGTGTGTGTAGGAAATAAAATACCTTCTATATACTCTGTTTTAGACTTTAGTAGCCCAATTGACATAAAACGTGTTTATCTTTACTGTTTTAGTCTAATAATGAAGAGTTACGAGTCGTTAAGAAATAGTTTAATTATTTATAAACAAGTAAAATTACTTATGATATCAAGTAGGTTATTATCACGTGAAGTCCAACGATCATACGTATTTCACATCACTCAATTGTGTTATCCGCGTATTAAATTTGAAAATTTATCATACGTGATCGAAGTATTCAGAGTATAAATCTAACATCATAAAAAATAATTAAGTTAACTTTCTCTAATATTAATTTTATAATTAAATCTCAATTTTATTCGAAACCTAACAATGTATTATTATGTATTACGAATCCATTCAATATATATCCCTATCATTGCACTGAATCCAGTCGACGTATATCCGTATCTTGACTCGGTGTCTCTCACCGTCCATACCGCTTCTAGTTAAACCCCTCTTATACTTTGACCTTTGAATATTTTGACCTTCCCCTCCCTCGCACATGATATGCTACTGCTACCCAATTAATTAATTATTGCACCTCTTGACTCTCGTAGTTGTTCAACCTATATAAACACTTCCATTGGCCTTTTTCATTCACAGATTCAGTCGGAACGTTTTCCCACATCTTCCTTACTAGCTACTTACGCAGACAAGTCAGAACTCAGAATAGAAAGTTCATATTATACATACATATATATATATATATATATATATATATATAGTTTTACACATATATATCATCATCATCATGAGTTACAGTTCGGAAGAAAGCGGGAGTACTCCATGCAGCACATCAAACAGAAAACTCAAGGGGGTGCGCCAACGAAAATGGGGCAAGTGGGTGTCCGAAATCCGAGTTCCGGGGACCCAAGACCGGCTTTGGTTAGGTACCTTCTCCACCGCAGAGGCGGCAGCGGTGGCTCGAGACGTTGGGTATTATTGCTTGCGTCGACCTTCCACGTTGGAAGGCCTTAACTTCCCGTTGATGTTACCGTCTTGTGTGAGGGATGATATGTCGCCCAGGTCGGTGCAGAAGGCAGCTTCGGATGCTGGCATGGCAGTGGATGCTCAGCTGATTGCCAACAAGTCCCCGCCGCCGCAGCCAGCCGAAACTGGAAGCAATGCGGTTGAGACGGCTGAGTTTTGGGAAAATGGTTATGTTGGAGAGACTTCGACTTCGACTCCTACTTCTACTTCTATGAGCAGCTGGGGAGGAGGGCAGGGGTTTGGCAATGGCGGTGATCATCAGGGGTGCTTTAGCATTTCCGTTGAAGATTATGATCTCTAAATCTAATTACGAAGTGTCGTCAGTCAAAGTTATACGGTTTTTTATTTTTTATTACAAATGATATTTTGTTCTAGTTTACTAGACAAATTTAAATTCGGAACGCGGTATGGTGGCATAGAAAGATCTTAACCATCAAAGCAACCCATCACCGCTTGTAACTATGATTTTGGTCCATGGAAGTTTTAGCAATGTGAGCATAAAGTTATTAACTAGAACTTTGCACGTGTTTGTGGGTAGATTTGGTAGAATATATATGTAGCACTGTATCACACTCATCGTAAGACAAAGGGCTGGTTTGGTATTACTGTGCTTTAAAAAAAAGCTGCTCCTGCTGTGCTGTGAGAATAAGCAGCTGTGAAATAAAGTAGCAGAGTGTTTGGTAAACTTTTTTGTAAAAATGCTTTTGAAAAAAAAAAAAAAAAAGCAGTATTATAATATTTGGTAAACTTTTATGTAAAACAGATGTGAAAAAAAACCGGTTTTTCAAAGCTGGGTTTTGCCGCTTCTTGTTTTTTGCTTTTTTTCACCCAAAACTGTAAAAAAGCTCCCAGCTTTTTTTTATTCCAGCTTTTTTCAAAATCACCTCAGTACCAAACCAGGCCTAAGTCTATCTATACTAAAGAAATGGAAATAGACTGGTTATGATTTACAATACGACTTTGACCTCCCAAAAAAGGACTGGAGTTGCATCTTTTTAATATTGAAAAAGACGTAAGCTGAATTTGAGACTTGATTATAAGGAGAGAGGAAAACAAATCTAGACTTCCGTGTGAATTCGTTGAATTATTTGAATGTACAAATAATAAACAGATCATGAAAAAAGAGGAAAACAAATCCATAATTTCGTATAAATTCACTTAACCAACTAAATTATTTGAACGTACAAATAATGAACAAGTCATGTTTCAAATACTTTGTTGAATTCAACGATCCTCTATGGAAAGAGGCAAGTGTCCTATTGATGATTTGGAACCCAATTAACACTTCAATAAATTTTATGATGAATTTCTAAACCATGTTTTAGTGCTGCAAATTGAGCATATATTTTAAATCCAATAGAAACCCCAGAAAATAGTGCGATTCTTTGTGCAACCAGTGACACCAAGTGAGAACTATTTATAAAAAGGCGATATACTAACATGCATGGAAATCATTTATACTATCAGTGGTGCCACTGAAACAATATATTAGTTTCAACAGAGTTTCTCTCCACAAAGTGAAAATAATTGTTTCTTTCCTCTTTTTGGGTTAAAACTACAAATGCTTTTCTTTAGAAATAACTTCAGCATCATTCAAAAGATAGTACAAAGATGCCCAGATGAACTAATCATCACTCAAAAATGAAAATTCTGAAACAAATGCCATACTTGATAAGAAGAAGCGCATGTTTGAATCGATGTTTGGCCGGAACATAACTTCAAGATTGTTTCTCGATCTGCTGATTTCCTTCAACATCCCGCTGCCAATTTCGAAGGATCTGCTGATTCCCTTCAAGCTTAGAAGTATTTGTTTGCATTGTGTTCCATTTTATGTTGGTCTTATACGTTTGATTTACAATCATCTCCATGCATTTTATTTATGTACACAAAAGGGGTAATTCAGCTGAAGACGTTTTACACTCATGGAATCTGTTCTTACATACTTACAATCATGACCCAAGGGAAACTAAAATTGAAATTTCAAAGAATTAGTCAAATGAAACCAACTTACCCGTTTGTTTTTTGAGTTTGAACTTCGCCAGACTTTGTAACAAAATCTTGTCCAAAATAATCAAGGAAGAAATCAAGTGCCAAAATTTGAAGATTTTTTCTTCTGAGCCGAACCGAAACTTCAAAACTGAAAACAAAACGGCATTAGCCACTATACAAGTAGGAGTTTCAAGATAGCAACCCTTATATATAGGCCGTTCTTTGCTTGTCTGAAATAGGCAGCTCGTGGATCCCCATCAATTATAGAAATATCAGAGAGACGGGCCATACAGCCCATTTCCAATGACACCGATATTGTCCCCAACTTGGTAATTACCACCTGCACAATCCGTCAGGTGTGAGGTTTTATCACAAAAGGCCTCGGTGATAGTTAGAGTGGGGTTAGGATATTTAAACTGTTACTTTTCTTTTTGTATGACCGTTCCCTCAAGCTAAGTCAGCCCTCCCATGAAGAACCTACCACCACTCCACGGTGGAAACAATTTCATCTTAACCAATCCGACCCCTATACTAAACACTACAACCCTAAACACTACTACTCTAACTGACCCTACCATGAATCCTCCTGTTTCGAGTTCTTCCGACATGCCTTCAGAGTCCTAAGGTAACTATGGTTATGCTTTTAATATGAATAATTGTGATACTTAGTCCGATTGGATTATTGACTCCAGTGCCACATATCATATGACTTATGACCCTACTGATTTATCTTGTGATACTATTCCACTTCGACGAAATATTACTAATGCTAATAGTGTCACCTCATTGGTAACTGGTGCTGGCACTGTACGCCTCACGCCTACCCTCTCGTTGCCGCATACACTACTTGTACCTTCACTAAAGCATAAATTAATGTCTCCTGGCCAAGCTACTGAGCAATTGAATTGTTGTGTACTATTGTATCCGAAGTTTTGTCTTATTCAGGATATTCTCACGAAGGAGATAATTGGTCATGGTAATAAGAGGGGGGATCTCTATTTTGTGGACGATGTCAGTACAGGACGGGTCAATCTCGTCCAAAAAGTCATTGATCACAAACGGCGTCAGATATGGTTATGGCATCACCGTTTGGGTTATACGTCTTTCAGTTATTTACAAAATATGTTTCTGGATTTATTTGTTGGTTGTTCGGTTTCAAGCTTTAAATGTGACACTTATGTACTTGCCAAGAGTCACTGTGTCTCTTATCCGTTGAATTCTAATAAAAGTGATATTCCTTTTGGTCTTGTTCATTCGGATGTTTGGGGACCATCTCCGATTACTACTTCATCTGGTATTAGGTGGTTTGTAACGTTCATAGATGATTGCACACGAATGACATGGTTATACCTTCTTAAGCATAAAAGTGATGTGTTGCTGGCATTTAAGACATTCCACACCATGGTTCAGACACAATTTTATACTAAAATTCGGATTTTGCGTTCTGATAATGGTGGTGAATATGTTAATAATGATTTTACACATTATTTAACTAATCACAGAATCCTCCACAAGATTACTTGTCCTCAGACTCCTCAACAGAATGGGGTGGCTGAGCGCAAAAATCGCCATGTATTAGAAACAGCTCGATCGCTATTGATTGGGGCAGATGTTCCCCGCTCCTCTTGGGATGTTGCTCTTCAGACTGCTACTTACCTTATCAACCATATGCCATCCAAAGTATTGAATTTTCTTACACCTTTGCAAGTTCTTGCTACATTTGTGCCTCTACCGTTCGTTTTGGTGCTTCTATCGCGAGTTTTTGGATGTGTTGCCTTTGTTCATCTCCATAAAAATCAACCGAAAAAACTTGACCCATGTGCTCTCCGGTGTGTTTTCATGGGGTATGGATTACATCAGAAAGGGTACCGTTGCTACCACCCTCATTCATGTCGAATGTATACTACCATGGATGTTACTTTTCCCCGAGTCTGAGATGTATTACTCTTCGGCATCTTCCAACCTTCCTCTTCAAAGGGAGACACTGCATGACGAGCAGGTTTGGACCATGGCTGCTGCTACCACTGATCTTCCGTTGCCACTATTAGCCGAGCTCGCAGTGGCTGCACTGCCAGCCCAGCCAACAGAAGCAACATCGCTGCCCACAGAACTAGTGGCAGACACTGCAGTGCCGTGCTCACCCATGGAAACAGTGCTGCCACTTGCCGATCTTGAGACTTCTACTGATACTACTCCCCTTTGTCTCAAAATATAGTACCACCAGACAAATAATGAACAAGTCATGTTTCAGATACTTTGCTGAATTCAACGATTCTCTATGGAAAGAGGCAAGTGTCCTATTGATGATTTGGAACCCAATTAACACTTCAATAAATTTTATGGTGAATTTCTAAACCACGTTTTAGTGCTGCAAATTGAGCATATATTTGGAATCCAACAGAAACCCCAGAAAATAGTGTGATTCTTTGTGCAACCAGTGACACCAAGTGACAAATATTAACGAAAATGTGATATAATAACATGGAAATCATTTATACTATCGGTGGTGCCACTGAAACAATATATTAGTTTCAATCATCTCTATGCATTTTATGTATGTACACGAAAGGGGTAATTCAGCTGAAGACGTTTTACACTCATGGAATCTGTTCTTACATACTTACAATCATGACCCAAGGGAAACCAAAATTGAAATTTCAAAGAATTAGTCAAATCAAACCAACTTACCCGCTTGTTTTTCGAGTTTGAACTACGCCAGACTTTGTCACAAAATCTTTTTCGAAATAATCAAGGAAGAAAGCAAGTGCCAAATTTTGAAGAGTTTTTCTTCTGGGCCGAACCAAAACTTAAAAATTGAAAACAAAATGGCATCAATGACCACCATACAAGTAGGAGTTTCAAGAGAGCCACCTTTATATATAAGTCGTTTTTGCTTGTCTGAAATAGGCAGCTCGTGGATCCCCATCAACATCCACGGTAATCTGCACGACATTCAGAGAAAATAAAAATTAAGAATGCTAAAATTGATAAAAGTAGGTTTACCTCGTCAAGTCTGAACTTTGAATGTTAAATGGTTACGATGCGATCTGTTTACTTGTAGGACCAAACTCTGTCATAATTGTAAACTAGTAGTTCCAAAAAAAGGGTTCCAAAAAGGGTTTCAAAAAAGACGGATAATGTCCAGAGACACTCAAACTTTCTAGGATATATATTCAAGGGCAATTTGATAACTATTTAATCGATGAAAGCATTCAAAATTAAAACTTATTTTAAGTTGTGTACACTTTTAAGATTTTATTTTCTTTCATTTTTCTTTTTTTTTTTTCCGTCCTCTCTTGGTGCCATTCTTCATCTCCCATTTCCTCGTATCTCAAGCACAAAAAGTAAAAATCAACGAACAAAGATGGAATGATTGTCGTTGGAATGTACTTAAGAGGATAGTTGGACCAACAAATTGGTCAAGGATTACAATGGCAAATACCTAAATGTGGAAACCAGAAACTCTAACAAGAACCAAACAAATTTTGAAGTTCAACGTTGTGTTTCACGAAACTCGATAAGTCAAG